CCCCGGGCAGGCTGTGGGGGCACGCGCTCCGCAGGGTTCATTCCCCCCCTCCTGGGTGAAGAGGTGTGCGGGGCCTCGGCCTTCCCCCTCCGCCCAAAGCCACCTGCATCCCTTTTCCCCGATTTGCGGGTGTTGGGCAGTTCTTGTTTTCCCTGGTTGATTGTTTTGGCAGGGCCGCGCTGGACAACCCACCGCCCTCCCAGCACCGGTTCCCAGAGCGTTCGGGCACTCACAGCCCCACGTCCCCACCCAGATACCCTTTCCTGGAGCCAGGCAGCGTTGTGCCGGCAGCCCCAGCCCTGTGCCCTCCCTGCTGGCACCAGGGCAAGCGGCCAGGCCACGGTTTACTTCTCTGCAGGAAGGGCAGGGCAAGGCGCGCTCAACACCCCTCTCTGCCCCTCCTGCTCAGAGGAGGCCACAGCAGCTCCTGCATCGAGCTGCTGAGCTTCGTCATGCTCCCTTTCCCTTCGCCCAGCTGCTCCTAAACATGTCTTCCCTCTGGGGGAGGCCAGGCTTGCCAAAGCCTCAGCTTAAGTGGTTGTGGGACCTTTGTCACCCAAAATTAGCTGCACCAAACACTGGGCAGAAGCCCCTTCACCATTGCCCCCACAGGAAGGGGCCCAGAGCCGCGCAGCAGACACGCGGGTCTCACCCTTCCCCCCGTCCCTGGCTAGTGCAGCGCAGTGGAAGTCACCCCTCAGAGCTGCGTGCCTCAGCCAAAACCACTCTTCTGGGCTCCCAACTGCAGTGACCAAGTAAAAAGGCAGTACACAAAACACAGGTAGGACAGACGATCTGACAATGCTTTGCTTTATGAGACCGCCTGGCTCTGCCACCAGCTCCCCGGAGCAGCCTGGCTGCTACAGCAGCACAGAGGAGTGAGGGTACCTCTGCCCTCGATCCCCCACGCACCCGGGGCACAGCCTCACCACGACTCCAGGCAGCGTCAAGGCCATGACAGCAAAGGTTTGCTCTGGAAAAAGGAGCACAGTAAAACTTAAACCGAATAGAGACAAGGCTTTTATTAGAAAAGGAGATCTATTCTGTTTCCGTCCTTTGGGAATCCAGCTTTATCCAAGAGTAATTCTGCATCTTGGAGGAGTTGCAAAGGCCTCGTGCCAGCCTGGTGCAGGTGGGGAGGGGGAGACTGACCGGGTTAGCTCGAGGGGTCCTGGTTTGTGGTCCTGAGGTAATCCTGTATGCTTCTGGCAAGAGATTCACTGTGTGGGAAGGTCGCCTGCTTCAGACATGAAACCAGGTACAAAGGGAAGGGCCTGAAAGAGAAGGAAGCATTGCAGCAGCAAGGACTGTGGCATTTCCCTTGCCACGGCCTGACTAGGAAGTTCGCTCCCCATGCGCTGCACAGAGCCCCCAGCTCTGTCTCTGCCCTCCTGTTTCCCATCGCAGAACTGGGCTTCATCCCCATGTCAGCTCTTTCGTGCCCGGGGGAGTCCCTGCAGAGCCACAGCCCGTGATCTCCCCCAGAGCAGATGTGGGGAGAAGCTCCCTCAACACATCTGAGCTGTGGGTGCAGGCTAGCGGGAGCTGAGCTAAACTGTCCACACAGCTTGAAACACAGGCTGCGCAGCTGGAGCTGTCTTGTGTGGCCAGCTCAGACCCAACCCATCCCCCCACACACCTTCCCTGCCCTTCCTGCTCCCCGTCCTCCCCAGGGCGGCTCTGGGACAACTTCTGCCAGTGAGCAGCCGCCTCCTGCTTTCGGTTCAGTTTCCACAGGGCCTGCACCAGGTAGGAGGCAGCAGCTGGGTCACCTGCAAGACACAAAGGAGGATTCAGCCCTTACCAGGGGAGAAGCAGCTCCCTGGCACTGCTATGGGTTGCAGGGCATTGCGAAAGAAGCTGAGAAGCTAGATGAGGGAGGTGAGCATGAGGAGAGGTGGTGTAATGAGGAGGAGACCATCCTGGCTGCGTCGCAGGCTCTAATTAACCCTGGGCTTGGCAGCCAAGGCAGACGGCATCGGCCCTGCGGCACAGCCAGCCACACCTCTGTTTGTATACAGATTGGTGTTTTCCTTGTAGGCAGGCCTGCACCCCCAAAGGGAGGGACCTCGGTCAGGGCTGGGACCAGCAGTTTGGCAGATCCAGGCAAAGCTCACAGCCCTGCAGTGTGTCAGAGCAGCTGGAGCACTGAACAGGGTCGCCCTTGGGAGTGGCACTAGCCATGCCTCGGCTTTGCTCCTCAGGACACATGCAGCAGCTCCCTGTTCTGCTCCCCTCTTCCCTGACAGGCCTCTGTCAGGCACAGACATGCTGCTTCCTAGGATGAAGCAAGAGTCCAGCTGCTGTTCTGGGAAAGCAGACCCTCTCTGGGAGAAAGCTGGCTGGGGTTTGGACAAGAATAAGAGAAATTTTCAAGCTGTCTCAGGGCACAGGTTGTGGGCAAGGTTCTGATACACTATCATTTCCCCAGGGCAGTGAGCTGACCAGGCGCCAGAGAAACATCTCAAGTATGTAACACATTGCTAGTAGCCTTACCGTAGGCCTTAACATTTTAATGAGAGTGATCTAAAGCATAATGCCTTTCTGCTGAATACAACAAAACAGCCCAGGACAAGTTTGTGGAAATCCTCTCTGTTCCTCACCAAAATGAGGCTCTTACCTGGCGAGATCTGCCAGCCATGCTGGAAATCCAACAAGGCTTCCTTGTGCCTGCCCAGCTCTAAGAACTGCACACCTCGCCCGATGAGGGAGAGCAACCTGATCTTCTGGAGCACCTCCACTTCTGGCAGGAGATTCTCTGGCACAGAAAGACACACGCACTTGGAGACAGCATCTTCCAGACATTCCCTCACTTGTCCCAGCAGGCTGAGCCAGGTTAGCAATCAGGACAGGCTGAACATTTACTTGGGCTGCTCATCTTCCAGCTCCTCAAACCCCCACTGGCAGAGCTCACAGCCTCTCTGCCAGACTGGGAGAGGCCAGGAGGCAGCAGAGGTCGAGAGCCAAGAACAAGAGCTTGGCATGTTACGTGGCTGTGGTGAACAGTGACCTGGCCTTTGGCAGCCCATCTGCACAACTGGTACAGATCTCTTCCCTAAAATCTGGATTTGAAAAGCTTCCCAGTTCTCAACCCAGCTGTGCAGCACCCTACCTGTCAGTTCAACACCAGACCCATAAAGCCGGACACGCAAGAGATCGCTGAGGCACCTGCGGGTGGGAAGAACAGAGGAGCTTCAGTGCCACCCCCATGCTGGGAAATCAGCTGCAAGTTGTCAGGCAAGCCCCCGCGCCACACCGCACCCTGCTCTGCCCCCCGCCAGCCATTGCTGCCGGCTGGGGAGGCCCCTTCTCCCAGCAAGACTCCATCACCTGCTGAATTGCGTTATGGCCTCCTTGCTCTGGCCCAGCTCAGCCCATGCCCAGCCCTGGTGCAAGTATCCAGCTGCTCTCCAGGCGAGGCAGCACAGGCTCTCCTTCTTCTGGGAGAGGAGTCCACCCGCCAGCCCTGCCTCTGGCGATAGGCACTCCGGCTGCTCCAGCCTCTCCTCGACTCGTAACATCTGTGGGATCAGGTCAGTCGTCCGGCTGATCACCTCCTCGCAGACGGTTATGGCATCCTGGTACCTCCCAGCCTGCTCCAAGGCGGACGCTGCTTCCAGGAACACCTCAGGGATCCTGGGCAGAGCTGAGCCACCATGTAGGGGCACCTGGGGAGCAAAAGTGATGGCAGTGCTCAGACACAGAACGGCAGAGCACCCAGCCAAGCAGAATGATCCTGCACTTATGGGGAACATGGAGCTGCTGCCCTGCAAAGCACAGACCTGCTCCCAGACACTGGAGCCTGTCTGAGGCAGAAGCTGTGAAGCACTAACAGCTCAGCAGAGCCAAGGTGGCAAATCCCTACTCTTGAAGTGAATGACATCCAAAACCAGGCTGACAGCTGCTCCCCACAGAAAAGGGGAAGCTGTTTCTCCAAATAGCAGTGGCAAGCCGTCTCTGGTGTGAATCCAAAGGCAGACATGCCACAGGTCAGAGGTGCCAGCCCCAACCTTGTTTCCTTCACATCCCAAACTAGAACTGAAACCTGGAGTGCAGCGGTGAGGCCTTTGGATGCAGATCCAAACATCATCTCAAGTCACCAGGGGGCTCCTCACCGGGACACCTACCTGCTGCTGCAGCCCCTCTTGAAGCAGAGCCAGAAAATCGAGGTAATGTTCCACTGCATCAGCCACCCTGCAACAGGGATAGGACATGTGCTGGAAGGAGCAGAGGGATCCCAAGAAGCATCAGCAGGGTGGAACCTGGATCGCCAGCCCACAGGCTCTCCCTGCACCACACTTGCTCTGGTCGTGACACCCGTGCTTTGAGCAGACCACAACAGCAGCACTGAACTAGATGATTTCCAGGAGCACAGAGAAAACTGCAGAGTCTAAACAAGCAGCACGTTGCAAGCAGACCAGAGGCACTGTTACCTCCCGTCCTGGAGACACCGCTGTGCCAGCAGGTACTTCACTTCAGAGGGGTGGCAGCGGCGAAGGAGAGAAGCTAGTATTGGTGTGTGGACAAGAAGCTCTGTTCGGATTAGGAAATACGGACTAGAGGAAGCAGCTGCTGGAGGGTGTTTTCCCAGAGCCTGTGAAACAGGAACAGAAAATATGGTCAGTGCAACACTGGTCAAGTCCCGAGCAGCTGCAATCACTTGTCACTTGTGGCATCTGGACACGCACCCAGATGAGCAGAAGCGCTGCACTTCATAAGCACAGATACACTGTTCTCACTTGGTACAGCACAGCTGCTTCCACAACAAGTAACCATGATCGTACAGGGACAGGCAGACTTCTGATCTCCACACGGCATCAGATTCGCAAGATCACTCAGATCACCTCAGGTTTTTAGTTCAAGGTGCTTCTGAGCTTCCTCCCATTGCAGCCGCAGACCTAGTTAGACCAGATCTTGGGCTATTCCTAAGGAGAGAAATCCCTCTCCACAGCTGTGTTTGTATCTTACAGATTTCAAACAGCTGAAGAGCTGACTCAGTGTCTACTGCTGTGACCTGCTCCTCCTCAGGCAGATACCTCACAGCCACAATCTGCAATTTAAAGGCCTCTTTACTATTAGACACTTTTTATTAAGAGATTCATACTTTCTGACACGCAAGTGCAACCTCTTCTCCCAAGCCACCAAGAACATGAACTGGGACTCAAAGGTCTTGCCGGCCCCAACTGACAGGTGCTGAACAGGAATTTTGGATCTCACTGGGCTCCTTCCTGCCTGCTGCTGAAGGCAGCACCATGGCTGGATCACTGTAGTCTGCTCTGGGGACCCCTCCAGGGTCAAACAGCACCCCCAGAAGGCAGGAGCCTGCTGGAAGCTCTGTGCAGGCTCTGCTGGGCAAAAAATCAACCCAGAACTACAGGAAGAAGACAGGCATACCTCATAGAGCAGAGCCAGGGCCTGCAGCTCCGCATCTGTCTCCCCCAGCTCGTGGTACACAGCTGCTACATGGGACAGGGCAGGAAGGCACTGGAAGTCTACCTGGAGGGCCCGTTTCAGGTGCTGAAGGGCTGTCTGAGGCTTGCCCTAGTTAGATGGGAAGAGGTACACGTTGCAAGGACATCACACTGACATCTCTACTGTTCGGTGGGATCCAGATCCCTGCTCTGCTTCCCCAGCGGTCCACACTAAGCAAGGGCAGCACTTTAGCCAAAGGCAGCCCTCCTCAGGCTGGTTTTTAATCTTCTCTCTCTGCAGCAATCCTTTGCGCTCAGCCAAAATTCCTGCCTGGATTTTGCAACTGTCCAAGGAGGCTGGAGCCACAAGGGCAACTTCTGCTCAAGACCTCACCTCCCTACAGCAGTCTAGGACCACACAGAGGCAGCGTGGACACCAGCCTGAGCCTCCCCACCCTGTTCCAGGCTGTGTTTCCCCTCTCCCCGCTGACAGGGGAGTGGCCCAGCCATTACCATTCGCTGAGCGCAGCAGCCGAGGCAGGTATAGATCTGGGCCAGGACACTCTTGGAGCAGAATCCTCCTGCAGCCTCCTGAAGGAGAGAGAGGGCGGTGGGGAAGTTCCCAGCCTCCAGCTCCTGCAGCCCTAGGACAGACCCAACATCTCAGCTCTGCAACTCCCCTTCCCGCCCCCCCTGGACCCCAAACAAGGGTAAAGCCCTTTAATTCCCAGTGCCATAGGGACCTGCCTGCTCCCCTCCACATCCAGCAACACACAGCAGGATGGTGCCAAGCTGCCATCTTTGGTTTAGTGGTGTTGCAAGAGAACAAGCCACTCGAAGGAAATGTCTAGCAAAAATAACAGCAGCTTCCAAGCCCGCATACCAAGATACCTGCCTGCCTCCGCCCAGAACAAGGGCAGAGGTAGGCGCTGTGCAGGTCCACCTGTGCATTCATCCACAGCAATGGCAGCGTGGATAGGGAAACACACACAGAATCTCAGAAAGACTTTTTTCTAGCACATCTGGGCCATTTCGCAGCAGGATGCTTTCAGATATTAATTCATGAATATTTATTGCAAATAGTATTTGCTCTTCTTTCAATCCCCATTTCAAGCTTCCCTCCAAGGCTCCTCTCACATGCCTACATCCCATTCACCTCTGCCATCTCCCCATTAGAAGTGCTATCACCATCCTAGAGGCTTTTGAGAGGTCTGTGGGCAGGAGCACCTGCCCTCTCAGCCCGTGTCAGCCTGAGCACAGCCAGACAGCGCTGGCTGCCCCCAGAGCCGCTGGGCTGTCAGGACAGCGAGCAAGAGAAAACCACAAGCAGGACAGAGCGCAGCAGTCAGATGAGATCAATCACGTGCTGTGACACCGGCTACAAAGCCGCACAACAGCTTTGCGTGGCTCCTGCAGCACTGTAATCTGACAGGAACAATGTGCTTGCAACAAGGCAGGTACCAGAGGACAGATAGAAGAAAGGAAAATCCTCCTAAGTCCCTTGTCAGCCTTCTGCTTTATACAAGATCACTGTGGGGCCCAGACACCTACCTAAAGCCACAGACAGGCAGAGGAACCCTGTGACAGTGCAAAGAAAGGCTTAGCTGGGGAAAAAGCAGAGCTGCTCTTTCAATACCAAATGGCAAAGTTGAGACCCAGAGGCTCAGCCCTGGCCCTCTTCCAAAGGAACAGCCCAGAAAACCTTAAGGGCCGGTTTGCTTGGGAAGAGAAACCAGGATAAGGGCAGCGAGAGGGGTTCCTGGGACTGGAGAGCAGTGGGAGGCTGTGCTGGCACGAGTACCTCATCCACACAAACCTTGCAGGAAGGCTGCCGCAGTGCAGAGGATCTCTTTCAAGTCCTCGATGCTCTGCACAAGGGGCAGGGAGGCCCCCTCAGCAGGTGCCCGCCATGCCTTGAGCAGAGAGAGGAGTTCATTCTCCCCCTTGCTGCAGCAAGCTGTTCCTGGGTCCTGTGAATACACAGAGGAGAGAGAGCAGGGAATGCTGAAGGGAAGCAGGAAACACTCATCCCAGGGCACAGGGAAACAGAGGTCCCACCACACCCTTTGATGGTCCTGTCTGTGCTGGGGAGCAATGTCCTACCACCCCCTCACTTCACCTACAGCCCCCTTGCTGCAGTGATTCTGGTCTGGCCCTGGGCAGCACCTCCCCACCTCAGAGTGAGGTGCACCTCGAGGGACTCCAGGCAAGGCAAGTCCAAGTGCTGTTGGAAGGCATTCGAAAAAGTGGGACCCCTCAGCAGCCTCATAATCAGCAGGGATGGTTCCTCTGCATCCCACTGCTCGCAACTTGCTCCCTACAGAGGCTGCAAGTCCACCTGCAGCCCCCTTCAAGCTTGCCCAAGTCTCCTGTCTCACAGCTTAAGGTCCAGGGCACCAACGAGCAGGAGATATTCTGGGACTCATTAACGTGCTCAGGGCCATTAGGCCATGCCGGGACACCAGGAGGAGGATTACTCATGCTGGCTGGGCAATACTGGTGGCTTCAGGTCTCCAAATGCCACCACAACATTTTGCAGAGTGGGGTTTATGACAAACACAGTGTTTATACCAGCTCTGCCTCCTTTAGTAAACCCAAGGGTATTTATATCTGTGCAGATACTCCGGTGCAAGTAACTGGGAGCTGCACAGCATCTGCCCATGCCCATTTACCTCAGCATTGCTCAGGAGCCGGAAGAGGCCGGCAGTGCTTCCCAGGCGGCTGGCTGCCAGCCACCACGCTGCTTGCAGGGCCCCCAGTCGGTGCAAAGGTGCCTGCAGCTCCTCTACGGTTACCTCCTGCAGCACCTTCTGCCACAGCTCCTCGGTGCTAAGATCCTGCCCGCAGGCCCCACAAGCCTCCAGAACTGAAAAAACAAACAAAAAAAAAACCCAGCCACATGACAGGAGGCTGTAACAGGCACCCTCCCAAGAGGGAAAGAAAGCCTCAAGCAAGCACAGGTTCCTCGTAGCGAGGGAAGGAATGGGGTTACAGGGCTGGCCTGGCCTCAGCAGCATGGAAACCAAGCTTCCAGACAGCGGAGTTAATGGCAGCACACTCAGGAGACAACACATGGTTCAGAGCTACGACTCCAGCTCCAGAGCTACGACTCCAGCTCTGCTGAGTCCTCCTGAGGTCACTTGCCCTGGGCAAGCATGTGCCAACACTGCAGATCCCCCTCTGACCTGCAGCCTATTTCAGTGAGTCTTCTTTGAAGGCAGCACACGGTAATTAAACACTCATTTTCTACTGTCACTAAAACTTTGCTAGAAACTTGGCACCTTATGCCTTGAAAACTCTTGTTTCCCTTAAAACCTCTCGCCCATCCCTGCAGACAGCAGCAGGCAGACAGACAGGCAGGCAGCTGCATATCCTCCCTGGCCGCAAGCCACCTCACCTCCCGCCCTTCCCAGCAGAGCCAGGCTTCCCTGCTCACAGCCCCCCCCCGCATCTCCAAAGCACAGAGAACACCCTCCTAGCCCCAAGGAGCCCCCACACAGAGCACGATCTCCTTACCCCTGAGAAGCCCCTGGCGTATTCCTTCTGCTTCTCCTTCGATAGTGGAGTTAGAGGCTCCCATAGTAAAAAGCAGGGAGTTGTAGAGAACAGTAAGCTCCAGAGGCAGGGTGGGGAGGGCAGCCGGCAGCCCTGTGATCACAGCCAACCCAACAAGAAATTGAGCTGGCTAGGAAAAACCCAACAACCATCCATGCCAAAGTGTCATCACCCAGCTTTGCAACATGTTTCCCAGTAGGTATTTTTTTGTTGTTGCAGTGAGATTTAACAGCTTGGGAACTGCACTACCTAGAGAGACAGCAGGTGTCACCTCTGTGGGGCCAACACTGCTTTCAGACACCCATTCCCCAGCTATCCAGGTGCTACAGTCCTGCAGGACACAGACCTTTCAGCTCTCCCAAAAGAGCATCAATAGTCTACCCTCTTTCAAGACATGTCCACCCTTTTGCACAGGATTCCCATGCTGTCTCTCTCTTTCTCTCCCCCTTCCCATCAGGCTTCCCCTATACCGCAGTCGTGGCAGGGAGCCCCCTCCCCAGCTTACCAGAACAAGGGTTGCCTCATTTTTTTCCCAAAACCCCAAAGCTCTGCCCACATCCCCCAGCAAGATTAGATCGGCGCTGGGCCTTAATCCCTTTGCAGGCCCAGTTCAGCTTAGGAACGTTTCACCCCCTCCCTTCAGAAGTGTTTCCAGCACTGGGATACTGGAGCTGCAGCCTAGTCAACACCAGTACCCGGGAACCGGTAGACTCCCACGCTCTTCGGGTGCGGGAGAGAGGGTGGAGGCAAGGCACGGGGCAGGGCGGCCCC